TTCCATCTCCTCTGAGCTCAGAAGGGACTGTTAAACCCTGCCCCCAAATTTGGAAGTTCTGCTGTTGCCATTATCTCTGAAGTTCATCCCAAATGCTTCTCTTAACATGAACAAGAGCAGACAGCCTTGTGGGCCCTGTGTGGCTGAGGGTGTTCTTGTATGTGATTTCCTCCACCCTACCCAGTTATCTCACATAAAGCTTGCATTTCCAGGAGAGTATGGAGCTGTTTCTATGGCCCCCACCATCCCCAATGTGAAAGAACCCTCTAAATTATTCAGTGACTCTCTGGAAGTGTGCAAGGCAGGTCATGTTTCCAGCTTTCCTAGGTTGGGGACTGCCTCGTGTTAGGGGGAAGCCATAAGCAAGTATGTGGAGGTGGGGGACTCAGCGGTAGGTGTGCATCTTCTAGGTCATGTTACCCTAATCTCCTATTCTTGATCTTGAATGCATGATCTCTGCTTTCCTGGCCTAAAGAAAGGCTATTGTAGGCCAGAGGCCTTGGGCTTGGTAGGGCTGGGATGGGAGCAGAGGTTTATCCCCTTTCTTAAAGCAGTAAGCAGTACAAATCTTAGTGGTAAGTCCAACCCACCTTTGTGGGGTGGAGAGGTGGCCCAGCAGTCTCTGGGTATTAGAATCAGGCCTATCCAGTAGTGACAATAACAACAAGAACAGTAAGAGGTTCTCTCACTGTGAATCATCTTGGTTCTGAGAACAGACAGGGAGAATTTGGGTATTGAAGACGTCATATGTAATTCAATTATGTTTTGTTCCTGCATTTCTCAGAGAGAGTAGTAAGACTTTGAATAACAAGATGCCAGGCCCATCTCATTTACTTAAATCATTTCTCCAAATCTATTCATAACAGTAAAATCATCCCTTACTGTCCCAATCTATTTGGTGCCCAAGCCCTAGAGGGAGACTTCGGATAGTTCAGACAGTGAAAGATACCAAGTTATCTGAAGGTATTTTGTTTTTGCATTCTACATAGTGAGTAGGAAGAGTTCAGATGAGGGAGAACGGATCTAACTCAAAAGTGTATTCAATAATAACAATAATAATAAGGGAGAAATGTGGGATCCACATATAAATCAAGTATAAAAATCAAACGAATATTCATATTTGACCTGATTGTTTATAGTTCATAATGTGTGATCAAAAGCAAAAGTTTCTGTGATGACTGCCCTTGCACTGTTCACCATGTAAGAACTTATTCACTATGTAAGAATTTGTTCACCATGTAAGAACTTGTTCATTATGCTTCAGAAGATTGGAGACTGTTGAGAATTAGGCTTGGGGTTGATTAATGATTGTGCATTGAGGCCCCTATACAGAATTTTATTGTTGTTAACAACCATTTGATCAATAAATATGAGAGATGCCCTCTCAAAAAAAAAATTATAAATTAAGTTTAAAGTTCATTCCTATTAATTTGGAATCCTAAGAATAGGGAAATGCCAATATTTAAAAAGAATATCTTAACCCAAATTATACTTTATTTCCTAATATTAAACATTTCAATACTATTTAAAACTCTGAGACCCATTTCTGAAGAACTATAAGAATTCTGGATCCATTTTGACAATTTAAAAAACTTCCTACACATGTTTTATTTTATTTCACCTGCAATCAAATGAAACTCAAAATTATAAAAATTATGAGCAAGGAACATACTGATTCTTTCATAATATGAAAGATGAAATAAAAAGAATTGAAAATGGCATAGCTCCTAATAGATGCATCAAAAGCAGGCATAATTAATCAATCGCTTTCGTCTGACTTTTTTTCCGTAGTTGGAGAGGAGTGAGGGGAGCAAATGGAGGTGGAGAGTTTGAGAAAAGGAATTCCTTCTGCTAATTCCAGAGCAGGGATTTTAGGAGTCAGTCTGAGGTGGAGAAAGAGGTACCAGTTCATTGAAACTGTTCTCCAGAGATTATGCACTAAACAGCCCGTAAATTCCACCATTAGAACAACAGGGATGGTGGCTTCTTTTAATCATTCCATGATTGCTGTATAAGCAATTCCCCTGCACCCACTGCATTTTTGTGGCTTTTGAGTCTGCTTACCAACTGTGTTTAAACTGACTTATTCTACATAATGTTATTGATGGAAAGAGGTCCAAAAAGACAGATTCCATTCACCTTAAAATTGAACCAGAGTGCCCCACTTGGGGTAATCCTTTATGCCTGTGAGATTTGAATAACCTAATAAAAATTATGTTTGTCATTCTTCAAAAAAAAAAGTGTATTCAAATGTATTCACTTCCCTGAGCTCCAGGGGGATAGTAAGGGCACTGTGTTGTATAAGTATATTTGGTTCCTGCATTCTTTCTGGTAAGGAAAGCTCAGCAAGTACGGATACAGTTCTATTTCAAAAACGTTTCCAACTTCATTCATTTCCTGTATTTGGATAGTGAAAATTTGGACAATTTATCTGAATGTATTTGGTTCCTGCATTTTTTTTCCATTTTTTAAAATTTTGGTATCGTTAATGTATAATTACTTGAACAACATTATGGTTACTAGACTCCCCCTATTATCAATTCTCCCCCGCATAACCCATTACAGTCACTGTCCATCAATGTAGTAAGATGCTATAGAATCATTACTTGTCTTCTCTGTATATACTGCCTTTCCCGTGTCCCCCCCGCTACATTATGTGTGCTAATGGTTCCTGCATTTTTGATGTTGAATAGGGAGAGGTTGGATAATGAGGGAAAACAAATCTGTTTTTCAAATATGTCTGGTTTGATGAGTAGGGAGGGTTCCATGTCTGGGTAGTGAGTAGGGAGGGTTTGGAGGCTGAGAGATACCATCTCTGTCTCAAAAAAAAAATACATGTAGGTATGTATGTATATATACATATTCAATTCCTGATTTGGATTGGGAGGAATACTTGTAATTATGGCAGCTAATTCATCTTGAGCGCTTACCTCAGGCCAGGCAGTGTCCTAAGCAAGCTTTAACTGTAGTAACTCATGGCATGCTCACAACAGCCCTGTGAGGCACATACTGTTATCATCACCTCCATTTTACAAATGAAGGGATTGAGGCACAGAGAGGTGAAGTGACTTGTCTAAGCAATCACACAGCCAGTAAGTGGCCTAGCTGGACTGAATCCCAGACCTACCATTTGCTGCCCCTATGTGAGGCCACATGAGGATCAAGTCCTGGCTGGGGTGGGGCTTAGCAGTTGGCCATTTTCCAGGCTGTGAAAAGTTGTAGACTGGGGCACTGATGTATGTGGGTGACTGGTCCACCTGTCTTCCTGGCCCAAGAGGCCCAGTTATCTGCACTCCCCTCCTTACTCCTGCAGCAGCCCACCTCTTCATGCATTTATTATTTGTTATTAACAGTTATTAATGACATGGAGTGAGTTTCTTTGCACTTTGAAATGCCTTTCAAAGTTACTTTGGCCTCTGTTGGCCCTGTAACTACTGTTTACCCATTTTACAGATGAGGAAACCTAAGCCTTGAGACTCAATCTGCATTGCCATCCAAATAGCCTTGGCCTACCATCCTAGGTGTCTCACAAGAGACGGGAGAGGCCATGCCTGAGAGGACATTCCCTGCCAACACCCAGCTGCCCACTTTATGGCTGCTGCCTCCACCAGCCCCAGGCAGTGAAGAGGGAATTGGGGGGTGATGAAAGGGGCCTTTGTGTCCCATGCCAGAAATCTTACACCCAGGAAGAAAGGTAGGCAGGGTGGCAAGAGGCCTCAATAGCATGTACACTGGGCACTGCTGATACAGAGCAAGCTTTTCTCCAGGCTTGGCCCACCTGCCAGGCAGGGAGGGAGCTTTCTTCACTCTGCTCTTTCACATTACAGTGTGGGCTGCTGCAGGGGCCTGCCCTGAGGTCACAGAGCAGATGGTCCCAAATGAGGCACAGGATGTGTGGTGTGTTCTGGGGGCAGGCCCAGAGCCCTTAATTTCCTTGAATCCTGGCCAGAAATGCCTGAAGGGGAGGAATGGGGGAGACCCAGCCTGGACATAAGGAAGCATGAGCCCCCTTCCTCACTCCTCTTCCCTTGCAGGAGTAGCCTCTGTCTGCCTGCAACCCAGGACCTGGCCCTCTGAGTTCTTGTCCTACCTGCTCTTATGCCTCTGTGATCAGAATCAGGCCTCTTCACCAGTCTGAGCCCCAGCTTCCCCATCTACAAGCTGGCTATGAGGAGCTGGGTCTCTGCCATCTTCCCAGGTTTGTGGGCACCAGGAGGGGTTAAAACACGTTGGCGTTTTGTTGGTTTCCTGGGATGATTTCTTCCAGAGCTGCTGAAGGTGGTAGGGTCTTGAGACCTGGTCTGTCCTTAGAAAAGTCGATGTCCTCTGTCCCCAGCTTGGGAACTTGTTAACCCAGTGAGGGTGGGAATTGCCCAAAGACCTTCTCCTACCCCTGCCTTGCCCTGGGAGGAAAGGGTAAGGGTCTCAGGAATGTAATGCTGGCTTCCAAGAGACATATACCCAGTTTACACAGCTGAGGCCTCCCATGTGCCTAGTAACTCCCCAGACCTCTATCACCCAGCTCCCAGGTAATAACCCTTGGGTGGGCAGGGTCTGATGTGGGTACTTGAACAACACCAGAGGCAGCAGCCACTCTCAGACCCTTAGCCCTTCTTCCTTGGTTCTCCAGTAGGTGCCCTAGGTGTGTGGTGTGAGGGTGGATGTCCAGGCTCTCTTCTTTGCCATGCTGGACACCCTTAGGGGACCTGGCCCCGAGACTGCCCGTAAGGGTGGCCTGAGCCCTGGTGGCAGGCAGGTAAGGGTTAAGAGATATGGGCCTGCCCAGTCCCTGGCCAGGTAGGCTGGGCCACTGCCCAGTGGGAGGTGGCCTAGGTTTCTGCCACTGAGCTCACCGCTCACTGCCACTGCCAGCCACAGCAGGGCCTGGTTGAGACAACTATTTTTTGAGGTACCTAAGGCCCACCCTACAGCACCTGTTTGGCATTGGTGAGCACCTGGGAACAATGGGCCCAGGGACAGGGTGGGAAAGAAGGTATGGGGTGTACTGAAATTCTCTGTGGAGGGAGCCAGGCCTGGGCAGGAGATACAGGGAGAAAGGAAGGCCCGAGTAGAGGGGTGAAGCCCCAAATGTCCAATTTCCTTTTCTGGCATGAAGCCAATTTCTTGCTGAAAAATGGACAAAGGGAAAGAATGGGGGAAAAGAAAAGCCAGAGTCCCCCCCAACCTACTTCCTCTCCCCCTTCCTCCCCTGTGGGAGTAGCTTCTGCCTTCCCTCAACCTGGGGCCCAGCCCCTCAGGAAAACCCAAGCTGGGCCATTAAGAAACTACTTCCCAATGGCACCTGCCTGTCTGCCCCCGATCTGCTCAACTAGAGTGGGGGCAGGGGGCCTGTAGGGCAGTGTGGAGAATGGTCCCAGACACTGCTGTGAGGGTGGCAGGATGTGGAAATGGGGGTCTCACTGAGGGCATGGGATGCCACCCAGGTGAGGTGTCTTGGTTGTAAACAGTCATTACAGCCAGGAATTTCTTTCTTGGCTGTGGTGTCAGAAGGGCAGACCTGAAAAACCTGCTGGGCCCGCCTCTGGTTGTTGAGGGTGCCCTCTGCGGCTCTCCTGCTGAGCCCATCCTGAGGCACCAGTGGGGAGACACATGGACTGGTGTTGGGGTGTGTTTGGGAGGGGGCTGCTGGGATCCCCTTTCCTACCATCTCTGGGTGGGGACAGGGCAGCCATGGGCCCCAAGGAAATGAGCAGAGAAGCAAGCAGAGGCAGAGGTTTGGGAGCTGGGTGTGGGGGTGTGGGGCGTTGACCCTGTGTCTAGCCTGCCCAGTGACCCCATGAGTCAGGCCATAGCTATGTCCCCAGGTCAGGCTGACAGGGTGGAGCTGGGGTTCCTGTCTGAAGCCTGTGTTGACTTCCAGGATGCCATAAACTCCTGGGGAAGGAAGGCTCAAGGCAACGTAGTGTGGGATGTGGACCAGTCCTGGTGAATGGGCCCACTGGGTAGGAGTTGAAGCTCCTGTTAGGGTGGAGGAGCATTTAGGGGAGACTTGGGAGAGCTCTCAAACCCAGAAGGGGGCTGGGGAAGAAGGAGCCAAGGGGCAGAGGAGGCTGAGCTGGGACTTCAAGGAAACCCCACTGTGCTGGCAATGTCAGACCTTGGAAGGTGAGCATGTGAGTGCCTCTGCAAAGTGTGTGCCTGGTATGTACATAAAGGCTCTAGGGACTGACCCCACTGTTCCTCAGGTTGAGGACAGGGAACTGCTGCTTTGCTGGAGGAGTACATACCCTATGGGGTAGTTAAGACAATTGCCAAGAAATTGGTGCTGCCATGTTAGCAGCTTGGCTACATTCCCCAGGGTAAAGACAGGAAGGGGTTTGAATTACTGCCTTCTTGGTTGCCTGGGTCTTTTCCATACTGGCCACCATGTCGTGACAAATGGGATTTTGAGGTAGGTGTGGATGGAACCTCCATGGCTTCATAAGGCCCTCCCAGTTGCTTGCCAGTGAGGTCAGGCGAGGTGGTGGGAGGTAATGTCACCTGGCTGCCCAGCTGGAGATGGAGCAGGATGTAGGAGGGAGGGAGCAAACTTCAGAGGAGGGGCAAGGGCTGGCAGTCAGCCAAGTCAGACTCCGTGGTCAGCCAGGGCATCTGGGGGCAGAGAAGGAGGCAGGAGGCAGCCAGCTTGTTAGCTGTAGACATGGACTTTGCCGCTCATGGTCCCAGCACGGTGACTTCCCTATGCTGGGCACAGGACAGGCTGGGGTGGGGAGAGGGGTTGGTGGGGTCCTGGGGCCAAGTGAACACTCCCTGCTGTACCAGGGCCACGGGATGCAGATGGAACAGGTAGAGACCTACAGATCTGGGCTTGATCCCTGGCTCAGCTACCTCGTCATTCTTTCCTTCACCCAGCAGATACTCATCGAGCATTTGCTGTATGCATAGAAACATTCTGAGTGCCAGAGATACTGATGAAAACAGGAGATAGCTGTTTACTATGTTCGTGAATGTATGAGGAAAGCAGGTCTCTTGTTGGACAGCAGTTGTGAGGGGACATGATGTAGGGGCTCATTTCTGGAAGTGACATTTAAGCCCCAGGGTATAAGGGAACCAGGGGCTGGAGTGGTGAGGTGAAAAATGCACTCCAGACAGCAGCCACAGCCTGGGCTAAAGCCCTGAAGCCTGGTGGACTGGGATCTTAGGAGGAATTGGTGGGGTTGGAGCAGTTCTAGTGAGGGAGAGTATTTGCCTGGAGGGGCAGGCCTGGGCTACCTCTTTAGCCATGGGCAAGTTATTTCACCTGTCTGTGCCTTACTTTCCTCATCTCGAAAATGGGGTGATAATAATCACAGAACTACCATCACAGGTGGTTGTGAAGATTAAATGTGGCATGGAAGGTAACTATTTTGGGCACCCAGGTGCTTAATAAATACCCACTGTTGTTATAGTTGGTTGAATGTGTACCATTAATTCTCCTTCCCCAGGCAAGACTCCTGACTGTGGTCCATGGGCCTCTGAGGAGGCGTTGTAAGTCTGCCCAGCTCCCCACTTGCTGTGCTCCCACTCAATGGGAAGGGAACCAAGGTACCAGGGCCAAGTGGGTCCAAACCTTGACACAGATTCTGAGAGGGCAGGTCAAGCAGGTGGGTGGGGTCAAGGGACCCCTTATTCCCAGCTGCTGTGTGGGAAGCTGGGTAAGGGCAGGGGTTGTGAGATCATGAGGCATGTTTCCTTAATGGCCCCTGTGCATCATTGCCAGGCCTTGTCCAGCCATCAGCCACAGCCTCTCGAGAGCACCAGGATGGAAGTCAAAGGTCAGCTGATCAGCTCTCCCACCTTCAGTGCCTCAGGTTGGTGGCTGGTTCCTCCTTCTGCTCCCTCCCTCCCTGCTCTGAGTCACCACCTACCTGCTTGGAAAGGGTTGGTCCCTGGCCCTGCAGCTGCTCCATGATGCCCTGGCTGACCTTTGCTCTGATCTTCATTCCCTCTTTGTTCAGCTGCCCTGTTCGGAGAGGCTGCTCCTCAGGTGAAGTCAGAGCGTCTTCGGGGGCTGCTCGACCGGCAGCGGGCCCTGCAGGAGGCCTTGAGCCTGAAACTTCAGGAGCTACGCAAAGTGTGTCTCCAGGAGGCGGTGAGGGTCCAGCCCTGAGGGTCAGGTGGGAGATACGGAGCTGGGGCCCCTAGGTAGGCAGGCGGGGGTGTCAATTGCTGAGGCCCTTGTCTGAGCTGTAGATTCCCTGTCACCCTCCAGCTCCTCAGTGCTCAGCTTAGGTGTCTTTGATTCAATAAAATATGGCAATGTAGGCTCACAATCCCCTATCAACAATTTGAAATCCAAAAACCTCAAAAAACAATAGCTATTTCCAAAATTTGGCAGTAAAACCTGACCTGAGCTGGCTTGGGATGATTTATAGTTTTGATTTTACCCCTCTTGGTATGAATGTCCACACAGTTTGCCAGAAATAATAAAGTGGTTCAGAGCATGCAGCCCCAGGCCCTGAAGGGAGTGCTATATAACATGTAATATATAGACTATGTCGCCTTTATAAAAACTAAGACATTCTGGATTCCAAAGCAAGGGCTCCCTGCCTCCCATGCCCACTGCCCCTGGCATTTGGGTCATTGAGGGGCTGTGGCTCTGCCCTGCACACCTGATGGTGTGTGGGTATGGTGGGGGTTGGAAGGAGGAAGAGAAATAACAGGCATGGGGTGTGGAGCAGGACTGGGCTCCAAGTAGGACTCCTGTTACTTCTGGGGTCATTACTGCTTCATCCCATCCCTCTAACTAACCCTTGGTCGTTGCTGATTCCTGCCCCCCCCCCACCAGGAGCTGACTGGCCATCTGCCTCCTGAGTGCCCACTGGAACCTGGTGAACGGCCCCTGTTGGTCCGCCGGCAGCCCCCTGCAACCCGAGCCTACCCTCCACCACACCCCAACCCTGCACACCACTCCTTGTGCCCTGCTGAGGTGAGCAGATGGGCATGGCAAATGAGATGGGGGTGGGACAGGCACAGAAGAGGAACTGGAAGAAGCCCTGGGTAGAGCGGGATTTGCATCCTGGGCAAAGAGAGACTAAGGTGAGAAGGGACCAGGCCTGAGGGAGGCTGCTGGTCCCTGTCAGGATAAGCCTTTTCACTCTCAGGAAGATAATGGGTGCAGCCCCTAATCAAGACAGATTCTGCCTTCCCACGCAATGAGCTCCATCCAAGAATAGGCTGCCCACCCACCCTCTAGCCCCAGAAGAGCAAGCCCCACCTCCAATGTTGATGGGCTCTGCCACAGCCTGGTCCCTGTGCATGGCCATTTCCTACATTTGGTTCTGTCCTACCCTTTGGGGTGGACCCCGCAGGCACTGGCTCTTGAAGCCCTGGAGCGTGAGGTGTCAGTGCAGCAGCAGATTGCGGCAGCCGCCCGCCGCCTGGCCTTGGCCCCTGAACTGAGCGCAGAGCAGCGCCTGCGCCGGCGCCAGGTCCAGGCAGATGCACTGAAGAGACTGCAGGAGCTGGAGAAACAGCTTGGGGACTTCCGGGCCCGCCTCAGCCTTCCGGTGCTCCCACTGCCCCAGCCTCTGCCACTGTCCACAGGGGCAGTTATCACTGCCCAGGGAGTCTGCCTGGGCATGCGCCTTGCCCAGCTCAGCCAAGGTGAGTCAGGCCCTATCACCCCATTGATGAAAGCAAGAGAGTGGGCATTGGCTAAGGGACATGTTAGAGTTGGGGTTGGTGAACAGCCAGGGAGAAGTGGGAGGTTCACAGAACTTAAGGGACCCAACCAGTAAGAGGAGTTGGGATAAAGTGGCTCCCAGGCAAAGTTGTGGTCACTGGGAACTGACCAATAGGCACCAGGAAAGTAAAGAGCCAAGCCTCTGGTGGTTTTCCATTCAGGTGAAGGTGGATTCCTGGGAAGGGAACAGGGGTGGGAGGAGATGTCCAGTGGTGTAGGGGGGTATGCCCAGGCCTTGCATTGATAGGCCCGGGTCTCCCCCTTCTCACCTGTAGAGGATGTAGTTCTGCACTCAGAGAGCAGCTCCCTCTCAGAGTCTGGAGCAAGCCATGATAATGGTAAGGATCCCTGTCCCCACGACCTACCTATCCTTTGATGCTCAGCACCCCCACTTCAGCTCCTCCTTTCCTCCCATCTTCCCTTTGCTTCACACTGCCCCACTTCAGCCTTCTCACCTCATCCCTTAGCTCCTCCTCAGCCTGCACAGCCCTGCCCAGCCCTCTGCCCCTGCCTGCCTTCTTAGCCCCTGCCCTTTGCTTTGCAAAACCCATCAGTCCCCTTCTCTCACTGAATTCTCTCAAACCTTCTCCCTTCCACCCAGAGGAGTCCCATGGCTGCTTCCCTTTGACGGAGCGCCCCTCACCGCCCAAGGCCTGGGACCAGCTGCGGGCTGTTTCTGGAGGCAGCCCTGAGTGGCGAACACCATGGAAACCACTGCTGTCTGATCTCTATGGGGACCTGAAGAGTAGGCGCAACTCTGTGGCCAGCCCCACCAGGTAAGGGTGAGCCCCTTCCCTCCCCCAGGAGCCAGGAGTGGGATCCTGAGCCTGGGCTGGCAGGAGGGCCTGCTGGTGGGTGTGGTCTCTAACCTGGACCCCCACCCTGGGCCTGCCTATCTCTGTCTAGCCCAACACGCTCGCTGCCCAGGAGTGCCTCCAGTTTTGAGGGGCAAAGTGTGCCTGCCACTCCTGTCCTCACCCGGGGCACTGGCCCCCAGCTCTGCAAGTAAGGGGACTCTGAGGGTGGGTTTGAGGACCAGAAGAAGGAACTGTTAGTTCTGACTGGGAGAGCATTATCAAAGGGTGTGGTACATGAGAGTCTGGGCTTTGAAATGTGAATAGGAGTTGTCTTGGTAGAGAAGAAGGGAGTGGAGTTTGGGGGCAGAAGCACTGAAGTTTGACTATGGACTTTTCTGTGCATTTTGAATAAGTCGTTTCCCTTCTCTGTATCTTTGTCTCATTTGTGAAATGGGCATAATAACATTGGCCTCTGAAAGATGCTGTAGGCATAAGTTCTGGTTAACATGTACTGAGTGCCTACCATCTGCTAGGAATCAGTGCTTTACATGGTGTCGACTATTTAATTATACAAGATCCCTCTGAGGTAGGTGCTATTGTTATTCCCATTTTATAGATGAGGAAACTGAAGCACAGAGAGTTAAGTGACTTGTTCATAAACCGGAGACCTGGTATTTGAACCCAGGCAAGTTTTACTCTGGAGTCTAGGCATCCTATGAAAGGTGGCTGTTAGGCTGATAGGTTTGGGTGGTTCATACACATGAAGGAACAGAGTTCAGGAAGGGTCTTGAATTACAGGCCTAGGACCTCATCTTGGAGGAGGTGGTAGCCATTAGGGGATGAAGGGTCAGATGTGTTAGGAAGAGCCTTCTGCTGGGCCCCTCCGCCAGCCCTATGTACATTTACATTTCCCTTAGAGCTGACAGCCCCAGGCCCTCTATTTATTTTCAGCCCCTTTCCCACCACCCCCCCAGGTCAGGAACAGAACCTCTATTGCCCTTTACATGCCACTACCTAATACCTTTACATACACAATTTCTAATCCTGGCTCTGTTTTGGAGATGTGGAGTAAAGGCTCAGAAAAAGGAATGGTAGGGAAGGGCACTCAGCCCATCTGACCGGTATTTCTGACCCTATGCCCATCACCCCCACCTCTGTGCACCCAGACCTGAAGGTCTCCATTCTCGCCAGTGGTCTGGCAGCCAGGACTCCCAGATGGGCTTCCCCCGGGTGGACCCTGCCTCCGACCGTGCAACCCTCTTCGCAGCACGCACCCGCCGCAGCAACAGCTCTGAGGCCCTGCTGGTGGACCGGGCAGCTGGCGGGGGAGCTGGCTCCCCACCTGTGCCTGTGGCTCCCCCTGCCGCTGGCCCCCCGGTCTGCAAGAGCAGTGAGGTGCTGTATGAGCACCCCCAACCAACCCCTGCCTTCTCCTCCCGCACAGCTGGCCCCCCAGACCCTCCCCGAGTTGCCCGGCCTAGCTCAGCTGCCCCTGCCTCCCGTGGGGTTCCCCAGCTCCCACCTGTGTGTGGAGACTTCCTCTTGGACTATTCCCTGGACCGGGGCCTGCTCCGCAGTGGGGCAGGCTGGGGCGATCTGCTGCCTGCAGCTGAGGCCCCAGGACCCCTCTCCTGCCGGGATGGGCTCCTCGCCATGCTCCCAGGCCCACCACTTGTATATACAGCTGATGGCAGCAGCCCCCTCCTCCGTAGCAAGGACCCCCACACCCGTGCCACCCGCACCAAACCCTGTGGCCTGCCCCTGGAGGCCGCCGAGGGTCCAGAGGTGCATCCAAACCCTCTCCTGTGGATGCCTCCGCCCACCCGTATCCCCCCAGCTGGTGAGCGCAGCGGCCACAAGAATCTTGCTCTGGAGGGGCTGCGGGACTGGTACATCCGGAACTCGGGCCTGGCTGTGGGGCCCCAGCGCCGGCCTGTGCTCCCCAACATGGGCCCACAACACCCACCCTTCTTCCATGCCCGCTGCTATGAGGTGGGCCAGGCGCTGTATGGGGCCCCCAGCCAGGTGCCGCTCCCACACTCGAGGAGTTTCACAGCGCCCCCTGTCTCTGGCAGGTATGGGGGGTGCTTTTATTGATGGGTAGGGGTCTCTTGAAGCAGATGGAAAAGGCATCCAGGTCAGGGAGCAGCTGGTCATGATAGCTAATGGCTTGGACCACGAGAGAACTAGCTGCAGCCGCTTCACAGGGTCATGGGCCCTGGCTGCCATGCATTGGGCTGTGGGTTCTTGGTGGAGGGGTATCTTGAGCCCTGGTAGCAGCAGTTTTTCACCAAGCTCTAGAAGAATTTTACTATTTTAACAACCAGTGCATGTCAGCTGAAAATGAGCTGTGAAACCAGGGTGCTGGGAAGAAGGGCCCTCCTGTGCCCCAGCCTTTCTCTTCTGCTCTTCACCATGCCCATGCTTGGGAGCCTAATGATACTGTCCTGTGCCTGCCTCCACCTCTTTAATGAGCCTTTTTCCTCTCTCTTCCTGTGTCTTGTCCGTCTTTTCCTCTCTTCTCTGTCTTCCACCTTGTCCTCCGGATTCCTGCTACCCCTTCTAAAGATACTACACGGACTTCCTGTACCCCCCGGAGCTGAGCGCTCGCTTAACTGACCTGACGCTAGAGGGGGAGCAGTCCTCCAGTTCTGATCCCCAGACCCCTGGGACACTGGTCTGATCCCTTCTGATATGCCCCTTGTTAGCTTGGCCATGACTCTCCAGTCTGAGGACCACACAGCTGACCTTGCTGAGCCCTGGGGTATGGTTTCTCTCAATCCTGGGGGTGCCAACCCAATCTTCCAAGGCCTCTGGCTCCCAGGGACTCCTAAAGATGTCTGACACCCTGCTTCTTCTCTCATACTGCTGGGAACTGGGGGGCCCTCAGCTACTTAAAACAGGCGGTGTGGTGTAATGGGGACTCCAAGCCCCTTTCTCCATTTCTGTTTACAGTTGTGATTTAAGTATTCACTGTCTTCCCCCAGTACTAGACGTTTTATAAAAGGGAAACTGTGATCTCATCCTGGTTGCTTTCATTCCTGTCCACATGCCCAGCCTGTTCCATTCAGGAACCCTCTCCATAAAATAGACCATGTAGGGTCTCAGGGCTCTGTTTGGGGCAGCCAGGAAACTGTGGTGAGAACAGAGCTCCCTGCCCAGAGCTCTCCACCAGGACAGTTCTTGGGGAGGTGGGCTCTCTGCCTATTTGGAAGGACTGAAGTCTGGGTGGTGGTGTTGGGTTCATTTTCCCACCCCCAGGGGTGCCTAAAGGAGGCCCAGTCCCTGTCTGTCTGTACCTGCTTCCTCTGCCCATATGGTGAGATGGCCCAGCCTTTGGCAGCAGCCTCTGCCCTATCACTAATCAGGAGGCTCTGCAGGAGGGCCATAGGGCAGAGCCATCTGGTGTGTTGTATCCTGGGATGCTGCGGTGGTGGAACCTGGCATCCAGCAGATGCCAGTAAAATCCTCAGGTGATGGCTGGCCATGAGTTACGTCATGTCTTCCCTGGCTTTCTTTATATCCACCACTTTTTAAACAAATCCACACACGCCATTTTCTATAATATCTATCTGTGACTTTCCAGAGCTGGGGGTCCCTCTACCCCCTTTACCTGGTGTTAAACTTTTCTTTTTGTACCAGTGGATCTCAGCCCCAAACACTACCTACAGTGGAAGGGAATTTCTGTAATAAACGTATAAACCGAACCCACATGTTGCTTCTCTCTCCACCTTGCCTTGGGGGCCCACACCTGTAGTTAAGACCAGATAATATATCTTTACGACACCATGTTATAAAGTACATAATGCTGTGGAACAGCCTGTGATAATGTCATCCACTTTGGCTTACTTGCTTTGCAGTGTGGGGCAACTTAAATGCCTGTCTGTGCTCAGATTCCTAGCCAACTCTGACAAATAGCCCTTAGTAATACAAATGATGATAGGAAATATGCAGGCCCTTAACTACCTTGTGCATTAATGCTACTCCAGGGGTAACAGGTTTGAGGAAGGAACTGAACACACCCCTTCAGTCCACATATTTGACAGAGACCCAGTCAGAGTAGCAGAATTGAAAACAGAAGGCCGCTTTTGGCCATTGAAACATGCAGACTTTAGGAGGCCCAAATTCACTTAAGCTATCCAACAACCTTTATTGTCGTAGCAACATAGATATATATGCCCCATTTCCAATCAGGGATACCCCCCACCCTACCCTTTGGTCCTTGCCACTGTGGAACTTTGGGTGTGTTGTGTGTGAGTGTGTGTGTGCGCACACACACGCACGTGCAGAATTCCCAAGCAGAACTGGAGGAAGCAGTTGGGACTGGTATTGGGTCACCTGGGAGCAGGATACCTGAATCCTCCACTCAGATGGGGCCTGGGAGCACTTGGGTGCTAGACTCAAGATTTGGCAATTCCCTGACCTGGGTTCAAAGCTGGGTTGGGGTCTGCAAAAGCCTTGGTCCAGGGTTCAAGATTTGAAAAATGCCTTGGTCACAGACCCCAGCTCTGGGGCTCAACATGGAAGACAGGTGGGTCCCAGATTGGGGGCTTAGGGACAGGAGTATTTCTGGGTCCAGAGTTTGAGGCTGGCCATGGATGTTCTGGTCTCCAAGCCCCAGTTTTGGGCTGGATGTGGGTGGCTCTGGGTCCCAAGTACAGGGACAGGGAAGACTAGTCACCTAGGTAATGGGGGCTGGGTATGAGGGATACCCAGTTTTGGACCTGGGAGGAAGGTCGCAGATGTCCTTTTTTACTAGGCAGGCGTTGCCTATTAAAAGGGCTGGGAAAGGGCTCTGGGTCCCGGGTATGGGCTGGGATGGGAATGGCATTCTCCAGATCTTGAGTACAGATCTCAGGCCCCTAGGATCCAGCCTCCTGCTCTTGTCCCAGTGCCTCCAGTAGTAGCCCCATTGGAGTCCGCTTGAGACCAATGCTCTCGATTTTGTTCTCAATCTTGTTCTTGAGGTTGCGCAGGCGCAGGGAGGCGTGCACCAGGATCACTGTGGGAAATACCGAAAGGAGAGGGATCGAGGATGGGCCATCAACTTTTAGCCAACGGGGACCCACAGAGGGGAACTGGAGCACAGGTAGGCCAGTGCAGTGGTCAGTGGCCAGGACGCCTCTGATCCTAAAGTGTGGCCGAATTATGCGCTTTGCAATAGGGGCGTGGCCAGGGACGGCGCACATTAACAGGACGGGGACGTAGCTGGTGGAAGGCACTTAATACCAGGAATAAGGCCTGGAAAGGTGGTAGTAAGGGACGTTCCCAGAAGAGGGGAGAAAAGCCAGGGAAGGTGACTTGTAAAGGGGATGTGGCCATGCCCTGGACGTATTCAGGTAGGTCTCAGGGTAGTGGCGACTCACGAAGCACTGGCCCCGCGATGCTGAGCAGGAAGGTGTAAGCGCCGCCCATCGCCCAGAGAACAACGAGGCTGACGGCAAGCACTGCGGCCAGGCAGGCAGTCGGGTGGCTGCGGCGGCAGCGGCGCACGGTTGCGCGGGTCTCAGCCGCCCACACCAGCACACCAAGGGCCACTGCCACTATCAGCGCACTTAGGAGGGTGTGCAGCGGGCGCAGGTACCTGCGGGGACAATGGAACTAAGCCAGCTGGGCAGGCGGGGAGAAGGCCACCCGGCCTCCGAGCCTCCCTGACGCCGTCCACCCAATCCCAGGCCCGAGGAGCTTCGGTCCCCGTTCTCCAGACCCTCCCGCTTCGTCCCCAGCCTGGCAAATACTCCCGTCAGCCGTCTACAGCAGGACCACCCTCTAGGATTTTAAACTCCAGGGAGCCCTGAGCTCCCCTGTAGACTTTCATTCCTTTTTGTCAATCTACAGACCCATCTTTCTGAGACCTCCTGATTCAGTCCCTCCCATCCTGCTAGACCCTCAGGCCCCGAGCCCTTCCCTGCTTTTTTCCCCTTCCACTCTATCCTCGCAGGGCCCCTCTCCAGCCTCCATTCCCCCAAACCTACCTTTTGAGCCCAAACCTTTCAGATTCCTCCTCCAGGCCTTCTGTCTCCATATATTTCTCTCTCCCCAGCCCAGAGTTCTTATGAGACCCCCTTCCAGACTTCTTCCCCTTCAAATACCCTCTCCAGTTTATCATTTCCCTATAGATTCCTCCCTCCATCATTGCTAGAACCCCTTCCGGGCTTTTGGCCCACTCTTAACATCTAACCCTGCCCAAGTCCCTCTACAGTCTCCATCACTCTTGAACCTCAGGCCTTCCACCTCTGGGTCCCCCTTCTTGGCTCCAGTTCCCCAACAGGTACTCACTCCTGGAACGTTCCATAAGCCAGGCTCCCCTCCAAGCCCAGATCATCCACAAGTCTAGCCTCCAAACCATTGAACTTGACCACATCCCTGTCCCTGTCTCTGCCATAAGTCTTCCAGGCAGGGCCACCTTAATCTGGCCCCATCACTCACATCGCTCCCGCCTCCCCCTTCATTCCTGTTCCACTTCCAGGCCCCCTTTATTTTTTAGATCCACCTCCCTGCCCATAGTGTGGCCCTAAAGTTCCAGCCCCTTTGTCCTTCCTCCTCAGGCCTTCCCTCCAGACCCTCCATCCCCATCAGGCCTTTTTCAGACAGGCTCTGTCTTGCCTCAGGCCCTCCATACAACCAGCTTCCACTCTCTTCAAGGCCCCCCTCCCAGTCAGCTTTCCATCTCTAATGAATTTGGCCTTCCAGGCTTTGCATCGCCCTCAGGTTACCCCCGACCGGTCCTGGAAATCCCGCAGTTCCACCTTCTATGCCTTGCAGGCGTCCTCTGCCAACCGGACTCTCCCTCCCTCCCTGCCTCACCCGGCCACAGCGAGACCGAAGGCGAAGCACAGAAGATAGTTGGTTTGGTAGTAGAGGAGATTGTTGATGACGCGGTGACACCATCGCTGCGGGTCGCAGGGATCCGGGGCCGCCAGACGCGTCGACCCCAGAACGAAGTCGTCCAGGGGGCGAAGCGGTGGCAGCCGCACCTCCGACATCCTGCCAGTCGATGTAGCTGGACCAGCTCGAAAAGCGGCGGAACTACAACCCCCATTACGCTCCCCAACACCAGTGAGGATACTGGGAAATGGAGTCGGCCTGGCAGCCGCTTTCTTAACCTAGGTGGATGCGCATGCGCAGCGGCGCACGTGACCAGAAAGTGCCTGTAACGTCCCGGAACTGTTCAGCAGCAAAGGCTGCTGTGAAATCAAGTGTCCGCCGGCGGGCAAAGCACTGCAACTACCCGCAGGCGGCGGCGCCGCGGGGGCTGTTCTGGGCGGTGCTAACAGTTCAAGCACAAAGGAGAACATTCAGAGAGGACAGGAGAGACTGTCAGAAAAACCGGAGCAGGATCCTGTCGGGGTCCAACTTGGAAACTCTTGCAGGTCCTTTTCACCCTCGTATCTTCCAGGTCCCACCCCCAGGTCCAGCCATTAATATTGTTAAGGGCCTTTTATTCATATTCATCACATCAGAGATCATCTCTTTCCCGTAAATTTTTTAAATCCCCACAGGTTGGATTAGGGCACTCTCTGGGTCCCTAACAGTCTTCTCCACGCTGGGAGCCCCAGGGAGTCTGCTGCTTCCCTGTGTCCTAGGCTTGGCCCTTTGGGCACAGAGTCATCAAAAAGTGCTTGGGGTAAGTGAGCTGTTTAGGCATTGCTCTGCAGAGTGGAAACTGGGCATCTGCCCCATTAATGTTTGCTGGTTTGTGGCTTCCACGGCACTCCAAACCCGGCAAAGGCTTTGCAGTCTGCCACTGCAGGTCCCTAGCACAACCCACAGGGTCCTTAGAAGTCATCGTCATCACAGATGTCAAGGTACACATCGAAAGCCTCTCTGTTGCAGTTTCCATCAGGAGTGAAGACATACTTGTGGAAGGTCCCATCTACACAGATGGCTGGGGGGTTGGGGTGGGTGGGTTGAGATCAGTAAAATGTTAGATTCTGCCAAGCCACACAATTCAATCCTCTCAGGTGTCCCATGGCCTAGGTTCTATCTCCAGGCCTTTCCTATATGCCATATCCCTTACTGATGATGGAGTTGAGCCACAGATTCTAACTCCCTTAGGCTTCCCATGGCCTAAAATTCTTTCAGGTCCAACTTGCAGGTCTTTGCCCATGCAGTACCCCCAAACAAGGTCTATTCCTACTCACCAATGACAGAGTTGACGTTCTTGGAAGTATTGCGACCAAAGGCGCAGATGCAGGCCGACTCAGCAGGCACGGTGAAGCTCGCCAGGCTCCACTGAGAGTCCACATACTGCCCAATCATAGGCCCCACCTTGCCTACACGAGCCAGCCTACAGGTAGCACTGGCTAAGCCCAGGTGTGGTACATGGCAGGGGGATGGGGACACAGCAGGGTGGGGCAGGGGGTACTTACGCAGAGCGGCGGTTGAGGCGGGTATCCTTGAGAGCAAAGATATGGACTGTGCCCTTATCACTGGAAGCGCAGAGGAAGGAGGAGTCATGGCTGAAATTGATGCTGGAAGACAGACCAGCAATGATGCCTATGTGTCATGGGTCGTGGGGTCACCAGCCCACCACATGTACCCTATGCTCACCAGTAGAGAATAGCAGGGTCAGTGCCTCGGCGCAGTTCCACCAGTTTCTCCTTGGACTGTGTGTCAAAAAGGCGAATAAGGGTGCCCTTCTGGGAGGCCGAGGCCACTACAGTGCCTGGCTGGTTCAGAGACACGCAGGCCACGTCGCTCTGAT